TCTCTTTCTCTCCCTCTCTCTCTCTCTCCCTCTCTGTGTGTGTGTGCGTGTGCGTGCGTGTGGGGTGGGGTAATATCTGTTATTAAAAAAAAAACGTAAGTTAGATGTGCATCCTTTACAGGACATTGCAGAAACAACCCCGGTATTTTTGGCTGATGAGTTTTTTTCTAGGCACATTTTACGTTCAGGAGTTTGCCATTGCTTATGAACAGTCAGCTCTTGATACCACTATTTAAAACATAGCAAGTTGGTCTGCCTCCAGTCTGGATCGAACTCGGCAACCCTGCATTACAAAATACATTTGCAAGGCTTAAGCCACAGACTATCTCTTTTAAAGGGTTAGTTTGACCTCTGGTTTGCTAGAAGAGCCAGTAGACTATTACCTAATTACATATATAATTAACAGAGAGACAATGTATTCTTCTTCTTATTTGCGTTCACCAGCTGTAAACTCTGGTGGACAGTCCTGGTTGTTCGTCCACTTCTGGACTGCAGTCCTGTTCTAGAACCTGAGTGCTGCGCGTGAATCCGTTTGACAGATCTGACAAATTTGTGTGCAGACTGTTGGTTACTTGGCTCTTAGGCAGATGTACTCTGACTTTGAAGGAAGCTTCTAATTAGTCAACTCTTACGACATACTTGTGGGTAAGCAGCGGGTTTATTCTTGTTTTCCCTATAATAGGGCCCAGGAACCCACACAGGGGAGAATGTATTGATCGGCACTCGAAGTAGAGAGATAGAAGGACACACTAGACAAAATAAAAATCAAAAGTTATAGTTACTGTGCCGCAAAATTATGTTTATCTAAAAAAAAAAAACAGTGTGACCAACATGAACATTTTGGAAAGCTCTGCTTTACATGGTAAACTCAGACAAGCTTCTGCGAATTATTCTTATGCCATAATTTATTTATGTGGCCATTGTCCGTTACATGACTATGTTAATGTCTTTTATCTATGTTCAATTTTCACATTACAAGGGACTAGCCACCTGTCTTTACACTGTCTTTAAATGAAACACCATTCATTGTCTTGTTGTGCCATATGTCATACAAGTATATGGCTCACAGTCTATTCATAGGGGTACCATAGGAACTGGAACTCTGTGCTTACTGCTGAAGATGGGGATGCAGCACTTATGGGAATGTCCTGAGTGCTATGTCAGTTCCTTCAGCTCATTGCTCCTGTATTCACTTCTATGAGGCTTGGTTGACCCCAGAGCTGTAATGATCAGAATATTCAATCCTCTGCCGTATATTAAACCCAAACAACTGTTGTGACTGCCTGGGGATTCAGAACTTTGCACCGGTAGACAGGCACCACAAAATATGGAACACAGACAGCACACTCCAGACATGCTCTCTACATGCAGCAGAGAGGTCCCAGGTTTGGCTGGTTGGCATTCCAATAGTAAACCAAGCTGTACTGATCACTAAAAGACACATCCCACAACAGACTTCATTAGACCTGTGGCTGGCCTTCTCATCTTGGAACCACTGACAGGGAGAACAAAAAGAAGAAGTAGTGCACTAATCACTATGCTTTTTAAAGTTAGCTGAGTCCTTTCACAGGATGTTGCACAACCAACCCCAGTAATTTTTGGCTGTGGTGGTTTTTCTAGGTTATTTTACGTCCAGTAGTTTGCTATTGCTTTCTGGACGGTCGGTTTCTCAATACCACTGTCAAAACCAATAAGGCCCGCTGCTGGTTCAAACTTGGCACCCCGGCATTACGGAGCTTGTTTTCAACGCCTAAGCCACAGACATCACTATGCATTATGGTTCTTTAATAAAGATTCACAAAAAGAAATATAACAATGAAATTACAATTTTGAGTCAATAATCAACTTTACAGTACTCAGAACATCCCTATAAGTGCTTCCTCCCCATCTTCAGCAGCCAGCACAAAGTTCCCTAACATAAAAAAAAGTCTTCATAGATAGACGGTGACGGTAAGTAAACAACTATAACAAAACTCATGTGTATAGCGAACAACATATTGTCAGGTGGCAGGTCATGTGCAGATCGTCGCTCTCATCAGAGCCTGCCTGAAAGAAAATGAGACTCCCACATCGTGCATTTTCCTATCCAAGCTGTCACTTATATTATATGCCCCAATCTGACTATAGGAGCAACATCACGCAGCAAATTAATTGAGAAACACACAATAAAAAGGTTTGGTTCTGTAGTAAGAATGCAGCCAACTACCAAGGCAGGTGCAAAACATGAAAAGGTCTGAAGTGAAAGCAAGAGATCGCCCTAGAATAAGATGGACTGATGACATTAAAAAGCTTTCACATCGACATAAAAAGACAATAGCCATTGCTGCTCATCAAGCAAAGGATCGCAAACTGTTCCTCCTCACAATGCTTAATGGCAGAAGTGGAAACTGATGATGATGATGATGATTTATAAACACACATACATAGAAATCTCAACAGTAAGAAAAACATCTAATACTTTACTCATCTGCATCCCCAACATGATATATATAAACAAATCATGACAGTAACGAACAGCTGACACTAAACTCAATTGTATAGCCAATGTCATGTACATAAACAGACCTTTAAAACAGCTGACACTAAACTCAATTGTATAGCCAATGTCATGTACATAAACAGACTTTTAAAACAGCTGACACTAAACTCAATTGTATAGCCAACATGATGTAAATATATATATATATATGATAGTAAGAAAATGGCTGACACTAAGCTCATCTGTACTACAAACATGGTATAAATAAACAGACCTTGACAGTAAGAAAACAACTGACATTAAACTCATCTATACTGCAAACATGGTATAAATAAAAAGACCTTGACAGTAAGAAAACAACTGACATTAAACTCATCTGTACTGCAAACATGAAGGAACGAATGAACGAACAAACTTTTTTTTCAAAGGGTCACAAATTAGGCATGCAGGCCTGTCTTACATTCGGCTCTTCTAAACTCCCATCTTTTATACAGCAGTCGTATTTCATCAATAAAACATGTTATGTTCATGTAATAATATTCATATTATGAATATCAAGTCAAAAACAAAAGCATGAGTGGTAAAATATGTGCGCACGCTCAGGCGCGAACACACACACACCCACATACACACGCAAACCCATTCACCAACTTACACACAGACACACACACACATAGGCACCCAATACACACATACATCCATATACATACGAACATGCACACAGACATTCGTACATACACACTCATACATACATACACACGCATACACAGTCACCCACACAGACACACGCTCTAAAACACATGCATACATCCCAGACACATACAGCTAAATACACACACACACACAACCACACAAAAAGACACCTACAAACACACACACCGATGCACACAGGCATAAACCTCACTTAGATGCAAACACATGCAGCCACAGGCACACACACAAACACATTCACACGCGCAGGCAGAAACCCAAATGATATCATCATCTACACAGATGGATCCGTGAAGCGCGGATCAAGGTCAGCATGGGCATACACAGCGCAAAGAAGGGGGAAAACAATACATGAGGACAGCGGCGCTTACCAGACAAACACATCAAGCATGACGATGGAAATAGCCGCTGCTTCTAGAGCTTTAGCATGGGTATTTGAGCAAACCGCCACACTGGCAGTAATTATCTCAGACTCAATAAATATGCTTCAGAAGATAGCAACAGGCAGTATGCGCTCTGAATGGATAGAAAGCATTTGGAAATCGCACTTAACTTCTGTGACCTGGACCTACACACCGGGTCATGCGGGCGTAAAGGGAAATGAGCGAGCGGACCAACTGGCAAGCACTGCACTAAGGACTGCGGGGAAAAGCATGGACAGAGCAGATATCGTCAACACTGAACGGGCTGGGCTAGTGGAGAATGAGGAATCCCTGACACTAACACAATTGCGAGACATGGGAGTTAAGTATGGTGATGCACGTCTTTGCTGTCTTCGGGGCCGAGAAAGGAGACAATATAACCAGCTTCTCATGGGGACAATTAGTAGAAGCACTTTGGAGTAGCTGCTGCTTCGTAGAACTGAGCACGCATGAGTATGCCCAATGTGCAGTGACATCAACTGTAATAACAAAACATAAAATAACATATTGTAGGGAGTCGGCAGTCCGAAACCCAAGTTCAAGGTGTCTCATTCGTGCCAAAGAACTGCATGGCTGTTGGGTGAACAGTCGTAACGAAGACAGTCAGGTAGTTGTAGGGGTGACGCCTGCTGGTGGATGTAATGTCCTAAGTCCCTTCCCCAGCTAATAATGAGGGTACTGCTAGGGTGACCGTTTATTAACCCTCATATAATGCTTCAGGTCAAAATGGACGCTAAGCACGGCCACCTCTTTTTTTTTTATTTAGCAGTGGCAAATGTTTTTTTTTTCTGCCAGACGGTGCCCATTGCATTTTTGCTCCATTTGTAGACTGGAAGGATATAGTTTCGTCACCCAGCTTCTGAGTTGAGTGCATGACGTGACACTGTGAGCTACGTGTTTTTTTTGTTGACACAGGAGCAGAGCAACTATAGGGTGACCCGTTTGCTATGAAGCTGAAACTAGGATTACCAGATTACCAGACAGGGAAACACAGACACATACACAGACATAAGCAACACTCATGTTGCACACAGTCACACATGCAGACACACAGACATACACGCAGACACATAAACCGACACAAACAGAGACACGCACACGAAGATATTATATAATAGACACACTGATAGAGACACACACAGATACACACAAAGCTACACACAGATACATACAAAGCCACAGACATACACACAGACATACAAATACACTCACAGATGCACAAGGAATAAATAAGCAGACAATGACACTAAGAAAACAGCTGACACTAAACTTATCTGCACCATCAACATGATAAACATAAACAGACCTTGACTGTAGGAAACCAAATGACACTAAACTAATAAGTATACACAAACAACAATTATTGAGAGTGAATGTCTTTAGCTCTGTTAGTTGCATTTGGTCAGTCCAAGAACTTTGCTGACCATAGCTCCTATACCGTCAAATATCTCATGCAGAGGTGCTTCACACATGAATGCTGGGGTTGTAACGATCTTGTTTTGTGTGTCAGTGTGGATTTCCTGAACTTGAATTAAGGAAAGACATATTTTTTATTTGTTCCACATCTTACATTCTGCATGGCCAGTGACATACTGGTGTAATGATACACAGAAAATAGTTCCAGGACACTTTACACACAGCACCATAATTAGTATATGAAATATTAGTAACGAATAGCAACTCTGTGGCATAGAGGCTAGAGAAATGGTTTCACATTTACAGTTCTCAACATACATAAGAGGGTTTGAGTTCCATAACAGGTGTTTTAGATAAAAGATCACTTCTGTGGCTTTCAGATAGTAATACGAGAGTCAAACCATGGAAGAGATTTGGGATCTCAGCAAACAATATTCCCAAAGAAAGCAGTGGATGCACTAAAGCCTGCCTTCCTTAAGGAGAAGAAGAAAAAAAAAGATTCAACTACACAATAAGTTGGCCATTAATATGACTACCATTATCAGGTGAACCATATTTTTCATGTATAAGTTTTTTTAAAGCCTAAAATTGAGAAATAAATATTTCAAAGACCTAATAGAACAACTATGAGATGTTATTAAATAATCAAAATACTGGTATATTTGGTATCTTACATCTAAACATAAAACAGAACAATGACACTTACATGTTTAGTATTGTGATTACAGTTGGTAATATTTGTATGTGGGAGCTAGTCATCATTATTTTTACATACTGTATTCGCCTACTCAGTGACATAGATAGAGAGTCAAAAGAAGTCCAAGCAACGGATCCTTCGAAAAAGTCCTAAGTGACAGTAATATGGTAGTTAGTGGGTGAAGGAATGAAAAAGTTAGTGAGCAGGCATATAAAACTAACATTGCAGCAAATTTGCACAACAGAAGAGTGCATTAAGGTAGGTAACACTTTAAAGAAAACTGTAACGCTCTCAGCTCAAGACATAATAATTTTTTTTTCAACCTCTATTGCATCATCTGGTTGGTATTCTCATAGCTAAGCCTTCTCTTCTCGTGAAGCTGAAGCATCATTTTGCCTTTCCCGTAAGTCAGCAATGTTAACTTACATTGCAAACCTTTCTGCCTCGTATTGTAAATTTATATATTTAATTGCGACATAATCCCATGATTAAGGAATAACTAGAATGTCTTTGCACTAGAACCCACAGGGTCAAAGGAATACACACTGATCTGAAAACACAAATAGTAGGGAACTAGAGAGTGAAGCTAAAACCATGGGGAGGATAGGATCAGCTGCAGGTGACAGTTAAAGATAGATCAACTTCGTAAGTGGGTTAGGGCCTATGATCCACTGCAGAATAAAGTAAATAAGAAGTGGCAGCAGCAGATGCAGAAAAATCAAATGATGCAGTTCAAAAAACAAACCTGCAGCCTTCAGAGCATAAGGCAAACTGCTTAATCACTCAGCCACAGATTCCCCCAGTGATTCAGTGACTAGATCACAACAGTCCATCAACCAATTAAACATAAAAGTCAAAGCCATGTACACACATGCTTCTTTCTTAACACACATTCAAGTATTCTCAAATCAGTGATTAGTGATTACTGTCATCACAGCATTCCAAACAGATCCATTGGTGCTCCTGTCTCTTCAACAGCTCCATGATTAAAATGACTAACCATGCCAATCATTATACAGTCTACAAAGGCTCAGGTGGCTGGGTTACACCTAGAGAATGGAATGTGGCAGAGTCCCTAAGGACATCCTTTATGGCGAATTACAGATGTGTAGATGATGTCAAGGCCAACCTCTACTACAATATAAAGATGTGTGCAAGAGGGACATGAATGATACAGGTAGTAAGGTATATTCACGGGAAAAAAATGCAATGGACCATGTTGTGTGGAGAAAGCAAATCAGGAAGGGGATAAGAATAAAGGAAGAAATTATTGAAGAAAGGATGAGAGGCAAGTTTTTGAGAAGAAACAGGCTAAATATAAATGATGGCAACAATGGCCCTGAAATTCCATGCATTAATTGTGGAAAACCTTCCTTAATGCTAGTCACATTCGCCATCGCCATGGGGTGTGAGTCCCAAGTCTCCTCATAGCACAATATAACACTACTGTCTCAAAAGATGGAAGGATGCGAACGATGTTCAAATATTAATATTTCTGACATTTTCTAGTGACCTGAAAAGGATACTTTGACATCTTTCCTCACATGCTTAGCTCCAAGAGCTTCGATGGCACTTGCAGTTCCAGCATTCGGCCAACGGCCTCCTTCTTCTTTGTCTGAGCCTACCGTGACTTCGCACCCTTTAATAACCATGGCAGCCAAAACTGGAGCGATGCAGCACAAACTGGAACAAATGTATAATCATAAATTTTAAACCACCTGTGTCAGAACAGGGAGAAATGTTGGTACAATAATTTTAACTCACCCCATGATGTCACGGTGACATCACAAGTGACATTCAAATAATTTCCAGGGGAATTTTTTTCCTTCTAGAGTGCATCGCAAAAGCAATCGCTTATTGAGGCCTCTTATGATGTGTGTTTACTGTGTGTCAGCAGTCTTAATCTTTGCCGCATCTGGTTGCAACAGTTTTAATCTTTGTTTGCCGTTCGTTCCAGCCATAAATTTTCTACAATTAGTAGCATCTTTACGAGCCAAGGAGACCAGCACTGCCTTCCTGCAACAGCAGGACATTCTGCACAGAACGAGACGTTACAGAAACAACCATCAGATAGATGGTGTATTATCGCTGTTAGAAAGACACATGACCTTTTGCCGGTATCGAAAGTCCACCTGTCATCTGGACATACCCCTACGGCAGATTGCGGACCTCTTTCCGGCGGCTATTCCGCCACCACCGAGAGTATCCCCGTGCCGCTACGCGATGGCTGGGACTCACAAGCAGCTGCTACCACATCTCCTGCAGCTTCCTCCTTTTTATTTGCTTCCCTTCGCGCCATGGTGGCGGTATAATCACCGGAAAGAGGTCCGCAATTTACAGGTGACTGAGGCTCTGGTAGGGTATATTTTCGGCCTCAATAATTTGGGACCGTTAATCAGAAAAAAAAAAAAAGATTTACATTTAATAAAAACAAAACAAAGACAACAACAACAAACAAAAAAAACAAGCCATGTAGGGACTGAACGCAGCACCTTTCATTTGTAAGGAGAATTTGATATCAACTACGCTTCACAAACTCATGACAAAATGTTATAATAACATGACCAGTATTGTACACCGGGCAAATGCGCATCAACAAGCAGCCGATGCGCACCAACAGACAGATATATAAGGTTAGTTGCAAATCCTTAACAGGACGTTGCAGAACCAACCCCAACAGCCCCTGGCTGTTGTGTAGTTTTTCTAGGCAAATTTACGTCCAGTAGTTTGCTATTGCTTTCTGGACGGTCGGCTTTCTTGATACCACTGTCGAAACCAACACAAGGCGCATGGGCCGCAGCTGGGATCAAACCCGGCATAGACAGATATATGCCACACCAAAAAACACTAGAAGAAAACGACAGCAACAGCACACTTGCACCCCTTGAAATAGTGGACTTCCAGTCAGCTGTGGAATTCCCACAGATTCTCTGTGTTTGGGGTAAGTAAAAAATATTGTACCGAAATGTCTTGTTTCTCAAGATTCTATATCTCACCCTATCCAAATGGCCAAGCCATCCAGGTATTTATATCTCTTCCTTCCCTTTGTTCTTTTCTCATCTATTTTGGCAGTCATCACCAAATAAATGTAAGATATACATTAAGAAAATATACTGAATAACTACTATATCATATGGCTGCTCACTTTGAAATGCTACAGAAAACCTACTAAAGCCATTTCTAACAACTGTGAGTCTGTAGACTAGCTAGAGTAAATCAATATCACCACATAAGTGTTTCTAAGCTGTCAAAATAATTAATTTTGCAACAGTAACAACAGCAGTATGATAATAAACAACTTAATATATAGTAAGCGGCACTCACAAAAAGAAGAGAGACAGCCAGTCATTTCATTCCATTCCTGCGGCCTCAAGATTTCCCCAACACACGATATCAATCTCATTGGGGAACACCCCTCTGACCTTGTGCAAAGTCAGGGGGCTCAGCAACTACCAATCAGAAGTGAGCTAGTGTGCATATAGGGTGGGGCGGGAGAGACTTACGTTATGTGTTTCTCAGAAGCTAATAGACTGCAATGGTTGGGACACAGAGAGATAATGGCAGATAACAGCCAGCCAAGAAGATGTTGAAGAGACCTACAAACACTCGGAGTCACTGACTGGAAAGAGAGAGCTAATCTGCAGAGCTGAACAGAGGTGCCTGATATCTGCAGCAGTGAACCTCAATGGCTAGGTTTTCTAAAGAAGATGAAAAAAAAGATCAGAGATACAGAGTTTAAACAATATAAAGAACACAGAAGTGGTTTATGATGATGATGATGATGAAAAAACACAGAGAACACCAACAGCAAACATACAAAAGTAACAACTTTGACAGCACACATTTTTTTTAGATATGAAATCATGTACCATTTAACAATCGTTAAAGAAGAAAATCAAGATTGCCCATAAATACATGCTACAGAAGAATATTAAAATAACATGGCCCAAGAAGAAAAAAACACACATTCTACATGAATAAAACAAATGATTCTACATGCTTCAAAGGAACCTGGACCATAAACAATATTAAGTCTTGGAAGCCAAATAAAATATTGAAGCTGTTCTTGGATAAGGCATGGGCCTAGATAGCGTACTGAGGGCGGTAAAAACAGCTAGGCAAGAAAATTATGGAGGTAGGGAAACTGCTAAAGTCCTTAACATTCTTTGAGAGCTACATCTTGAAAAAGCATTTAGTAAGTGAAGATAAAAAAATGCCACAAAATATGTAATCATTAATGATAAACCACCCACAGTACCTTGATATGACAGCCTAGAGAGGGCTGAGTGGTCTCGAAGTATGGCATCCGCCTCGAGTCCTAGAAGTCTCAGGTTCAAACCCTGGTGAAGGCTGCAAATTTTTCACATAACAGAGAAATAAAAACAGGTGTGCGACAGGAATTTCTTTTCTCGCCTCTCCTATTTTTACTGGCTATAGACTGAATTATGAAGACAGTAACTGCTAACACAAAGAATGGAATTCAGTGGACCCCTACAAAACAGCTTGATGATCTGGGCTTCTCTGATGATATCTCTCTTCTGTCCCATTCACGGAATAAGATGCAAGATAAATTAAATATACTAGATGCGAGATCACAGCAACTAGGTCTGACAATCCATAGAGGAAAAAGATAATGAGAATAAATTGGGCAAATAGTAATGCGATTTCTCCTAATGGCACCCCACTCCAAGACGTGGAGTCATACACCTAATTGGGAAGTAATGTAGATAAAGATGGGGGGACCGACAGATATTAAAATGAGAATACAAAAGGCAAGACGAGCTTTTACAGCACTAGGAGGAGGTCAAAAAAAAATTAAAAGAAATACTAAACTTAATATTTGTTATTTTAATGTTAAATCAGTACTTTTTTATGGGGCGGAAACATGGAGAACAACCAAGGCAATTTCAGACATTCATTAACTGGTGTCTGTCCAGAATAGAGAGAATTAAATGGTATGATAGAATAACTAATGAAGAGCTCTGGGAGAGGACTAAGCAAGCCTCAGTGGACCAAGAGGTGAGGAAAAGATGCTGGCATTTAATAGGACACACTTTAAGAAAACTGGAGAAAAGCATAACTAGAATATCTTTGCATTGGAACCCACAAGGGCATAGGAATAAAGGAAGGCAGCAAAAGAAGAAGACTTCTAGTAATTTCCCATGGTCTCAAGGTAGTAAGACCGGATGCCCGTGTGTATTGTTGCGCACGTAAAAAAATACCTTGGCAGTTGAAAATCGATAAAAAGTAGCCAAATTGTGCTGCCTGGGCAAAATTTGGAGTTAAAAATGTACCAAAATTATTTCAGGAACCTCGCCATTGCAACGGAGTTAGTGCACCGCGCTGTGACCTTCAGGCCCTTGCAATAAAAATGGTTTCGATTGCAAAGACAGTACCTGAAGGAACACTGGGGGTGGTCAAAGTAGAGGAGGGAAAAGAAGGACCTGGAATGACAACACTGAGAAATGGACAGAACTAAATTATCATCCATTTATTCATCAAGTGGAAGATAGAGAAAGATGGCAGGTTTTGTGTGCTAGTGATTCCATCAAAACACCTCCACAAACCTAAGGGGTCAAGGGTTATGTTATGTTGTACCCATAGTATCTCCTCCATGAAGAACTGCTGAAAGAACAAATAGAATGGCATTACAGGTATGGCTCCAAAAAATAAAAATCTTTAGTTGCAATATTTGCTTACCCAATAGGCTTCTTAGCAGAATGAAAGGCTTTTATGACTGCTTCAACTTCAGCGTTAACTTTCATTGAAGGGCCATCTACAGCAAATGTGGATCTGGCAACAGATATTGGATAATGAATACTAAAAAGAGATTACAAATAAAGGATATCAGATATTCAATCAATCAATCAATCAGCATGTCCTTTACGGAACATGTCCTCTTAAGGGCATGCCTGAAAGTCTATTTCTCTAGCCAATTCTCCAGCCCTGTGTGCTTTCATAGCAAATGAATCTTTCAATGTTCTGTATCCACATTCCTGGAGGTCAGCCTCTACCTCACTTCCTAGAAACTGCATCCTCCTTCACTGTTCTCTCTCCAGATCCCACGGCGCTTGACAAGTCTGAAATATCTCAGCTTTTAGGATGTTGCTGCTGTTTATCAGCCATTTCTCCCTGATGTTCAGGTCATGCAGGTTGTCATTGTTATTCTTCTCCTTGGTTCAGGGTATTTTGAGAAACTGTCTGCAACTGTTTCCGTTTCAAAAGCTCTGATTTTCTTCTTCAAAGGCTTAGTTATTAAATAGCAAAAAAAAAAAAAAAAAAAAACATTACTGCTACAAATGTGGATCTGGCAACAGATAGTGAATACTAAATCAAATAAGCAAAATAAAAATCATTAGTGCAGATGGGGATCTCTGACAATGGATGTTGGATACAAAATAATTCCACAAAAGTCATTATGACTCATATAAAGAGAAACCCCACACGCAGCTACTTATAGCCAACACAGCTGTTGGAATCAACAGAAGACAAAAGAAAGTGAAGATTTACTGAGTGAGGAGAAGAAAAGAAAACATTAGAAAGTTGAATCCACTCATCAGGTAATCTTGATTAGATTATACTGAAATAGTCTTCAACTGTCATTTTCATTCAATTGTACAGTACAACAGATAGGAAGAATAAACTTCTGGTCCTAAATGATTTATAACAGGACGATAATAACAATGTCATATTCATTCTGTGCAAATGATATTCCTCAAGTAAGTCTGAGGGCTCCATTGTGGAGCCAGACATGTAAAAAGAAATGTGCACGCAAAACTCTAGTTCTGGAACATCACCAAAGCAAAAAAGTTAATGAGAAACTAGAACTTTTCGCCAGAGTTAACAGTTGGTGAGTGGAAAGAAAAAGATAATTTAAACTGGCCCTTTCGAATGTATACTTTTAAAAACAAAAAGTAGGTGGTGAAAATATACATACAAATTCTTGGCTGCTCCAAATCCACCAGGAAACAGAACGGCATCAAAGACTTTAGCATCAAGACCAGATAATGGCTGAACCTTTCCACGAGCTATTCTAGCTGATTCTTCCAAGACACTCCTGAAATTAGTCATGAATATGCCATTGACACAGCAGCGGTGACATGGTGACTAGATGCTCATCTGCCAGCCCGAAGGTCTCGGGTTTGAATCTGCAAATGTCCTTGGCTCCCAAGTTGACTCCTGGAAGTAAAGGCGATCGGCATGATGTTGACCACATCACTCCCAAAGTGTCTGTTGGTCTAAAAGAATATGAATGTAACAGTATGTGCCCGATATCCCACTGGCGTTTGAAGGGTCCCTTTTTTAAACTTATTTTTTTGTGTGTGGCTATTAACTTGATGCTGTCAGTTGGAAAACACTGAATTGCCAGCGTGAAATCCCAGATCATGTTTTCAAGATAGGTCAAATGATTTTCTGGTGTTTGGTCATCATGGATCCCTTTCATTGCACAGGGTTATCTGGTCATCATGGATCCCTTTCATTGCACAGGGTTACCTGGTTATCAAGGATCCCTTTCATTGCACAGGGTTATCTGGTCATCATGGATCCCTTTCATTGCACAGGGTTACCTGGTTATCAAGGATCCCTTTCATTGTTAAGGGTTATCTGGTCATCATGGATCCCTTTCATTGCACAGGGTTATCTGGTCATCATGGATCCCTTTCATTGCACAGGGTTATCACCATAAGTGCCTAACTTTTTCTTCTTCTTTCTTCATGTTTACCGGCTGTAAACTCCAATGAGAAAGTTCTGGATGTTCATCAGTTTTTTTTTGTTCGTTTGTTCATTCATTTGTTCCACTTCTGGACGTTGCTCTTGTTCCAGAAACAGAGTTTTGTCTGCACATCCATTTTTACAGTTCTGGCTACACCCTTTCAGCACCATGACTTTACTCGTTTCTATGGGGAAAGGGGGCGGGGTTTGTTCTGGGTAGCCGGGGGGGGGGGGGGGGGGGGGCAGCTAAGGTAACCTGATGGATGGAACAAAGTCCCGGATGGAGGCTGCTGAAAAGGGAGTACAAGATCAGGGTTTCTCGTGAGGCCAGCAACGAGAGGAGGCCGGAGGGAAAGGTGATGGATATCGACACGTATTTGTTTATATATTTTAAATTACAACATTCCATGTATAAGACGATCCCCAATTTCGAACTTAAAAGAAAATATCATCTAATACAAACAGAAAGATAGTGTCCGTCATAATTATCCCTTAAAAGACTGTCTGCCTTATATTAGCACCAAAGTTTTACCACTACATTTTAATTTCATCATAATATACTATCTGCTTTTACCGTAGTAGCAAGATCTAAAACACAACTATACAATAACTTACTGTTCACATTACTATAATATTTTAATAATGCAGACACCAACAATACATTGCATAATTTATTGCCAGGCATATTTCACTGTATCTTGTTATATAATATATATATAACTATAATAGCAAAATGTCATATACCAATTTACAGTAACTCACCTATTTGTTGTGGACGGTTCTCCCTTTAAATGATTGATTGTGTGCATCTGTGGGATATCCGGAGCAAATATTGACACTTCTGCTCCAGCTCTGCTTAAGTGGACAAGAATGCTGCAATTTTACACATAGACTATGAATTAATGAATCAAAAGAACATAATTCATTACAAAAATAGTCAATGCTATCCTACAGCATAAATTACCAAGATTACTGGATTTCTCTCTTCCTTAGAAGTTTCAGTTTCCTGAAGTTATAGTAACTTCTATGATCTATCTGGTGCTCCACGGGTTTGAAATGATCTGGTTTCAAACTTTTACTTTAAATTCAATTACAAGGCTAATTTATTGTATGTGACAAAAAAATTAATTTGTGCAAAAATACATTTTAAATGTTTGTTTGATCCCTCTGTGTTGCTGCCATAAAATCCTAAGATTGCAAAAATCTCAGTCTGGATGGGAGACCAACCAGGCATATCCCAGATACTGAATTCAATCTTAAAAGAAGTTACAATTAAGGCACCCATAATGACACCAGCCATGTGTGACCTGTAGTCCTATGATGGTAAGGACATATGTGTGACCTGCAGTCCTATGATGGTAAGGACATATGTGTGACCTGCAGTCCTGTGATGGTAAGTACGTATGTGTGACCTGTAGTCCTATGATGGTAAGGACATATGTGTGACCTGCAGTCCTATGATGGTAAGTACATATGTGTGACCTGTAGTCCTATGATGGTAAGTACATATGTGTGACCTGTAGTCCTATGATGGTAAGTACATATGTGTGACCTGTAGTCCTATGATGGTAAGTACATATGTGTGACCTGTAGTCCTATGATGGTAAGTACATATGTGTGACCTGTAGTCCTATGATGGTAAGGACATATGTGTGACCTGTAGTCCTATGATGGTAAGTACGTATGTGTGACCTGCAGTCCTATGATGGTAAGTACGTATGTGTGACCTGTAGTCCTATGATGGTAAGTACGTATGTGTGACCTGCAGTCCTATGATGGTAAGTACGTATGTGTGACCTGTAGTCCTATGATGGTAAGTACGTATGTGTGACCTGTAGTCCTATGATGGTAAGTACATATGTGTGACCTGTAGTCCTATGATGGTAAGGACATATGTGTGACCTGCAGTCCTGTGATGGTAAGGACGTATGTGTGACTTGCAGTCCTATGATGGTAAGTAAGTATGTGTGACCTGCAGTCCTATGATGGTAAGGACATATGTGTGACTTGCAGTCCTATGATGGTAAGTATGTATGTGTGACCTGCAGTCCTATGATGGTAAGTACATATGTGTGACTTGCAGTCCTATGATGGTAAGTATGTATGTGTGACCTGCAGTCCTATGATGGTAAATACATATGTGTGACTTGCAGTCCTATGATGGTAAGTAAGTATGTGTGACCTGCAGTCCTATGATGGTAAGGACATATGTGTGACCTGCAGTCCTATGATGGTAAGGACATATGTGTGACCTGCAGTCCTATGATGGTAAGTACGTATGTGTGACCCACAGTCCTATGACAGTAGGGACATATGTGTGATCTGCAGTCCTATGATGGTAAGTACGTATGTGTGACCTGCAGTCCTATGATATAGGGACATATGTGTGACCTGCAGTCCTATGATGGTAAGTATGTATGTGTGACCTGCAGTCCTAAGATGGTAAGTACGTATGTGTGACTTGCAGTCCTATGATGGTAAGTACGTATGTGTGACCTGCAGTCCTATGATGGTAAGGACATATGTGTGACCTACAGTCCTATGAAGGTAAGGTCATATGTGTGACCTGCAGTCCTATGATGGTAAGTAAGTATGTGTGACCTGCAGTCCTATGATGGTAAGTACGTATGTGTGACCTGCAGTCCTATTATGGTAAGGACATATGTGTGACCTACAGTCCTATGAAGGTAAGGACATATGTGTGACCTGCAGTCCTATGATGGTAAGTAAGTATGTGTGACCTGCAGTCCTATGATGGTAAGTACGTATGTGTGACCTGCAGTCCTATGATGGTAAGTACGTATGTGTGACCCACAGTCCTATGATAGTAGGGACATATGTGTGACCTGCAGTCCTATGATGGATGGTAAGGAGGTATGTGTGACCTGCAGTCCTATGATGGTAAGTACATATGTTTGACCTGCAGTCCTATGATGGTAAGTACGTATGTGTGACCTGCAGTCCTATGATATAGGGACATTTTTGTGACCTACAGTCCTATGATGGTAAGTACGTATGAGTGACCTGCAGTCCTATAATAGGGACATATGTGTGACCTGCAGTCTTATGATGGATGGTAAGGAGGTATGTGTGATCTGCAGTCCTATGATGGTAAGTAAGTAAGTGTGACCTACACTCCTATGATGGTAAGTAAGTAAGTGTGACCTACACTCCTATGATGGTAAGTAAGTAAGTGTGACCTACAGTCCTATGATAGTAAGGATGTGTGTTTTACGTGGAGACTTTAAAGTCTATGATATCTATCTGGAGCAGAAACCGCTTTTATATATTTGGACCTGTTCATATGAAACCTGTTCGTGGTGCACCAGGTGTAACTGCAAGCACAGAACATAATCATGTCATAGTCATGTGATAAGTATAGATAAATAAATAAATAAGCACACACTTATCGTCCCATGATGCATAGGTTCTACCCATGATTGTTGAGAAAATGGCCGTACTGACCCAAAATCACTCCAAAGAAGCTCAAAGAGATAATTAAAGAGTATTTAAATAGCATAATTATTTTCTAATTTAAATTATTTCTAGTAAAATTTGTATGGCTAACACAGTACTAGCTCACTGTGGGATCAACTTGAAAAATATGTTGAAGTGACTTACGCTGAAGATTCATGAACTTCACTCCCATCATACACTCCACATCCTGATAAAACCTGTGAGAAAGGGAATCAGTGTTTAAGCCAGACAGATGCAGTAATATGGCACAACATCATTCTTACTTACATTAGTTCATTTTCCACAGAAATAAAAATGGTCACTAATAAGCTAATATCAAGAAATTAATCTAATTAATGACTTGTTACTAAGAACCTAAATGAAAAGAGGGATGAGGCAGGGACAACACAAACACTCACAGAAAAGTCTGGACATTGGACATGATGCCCCCCCCCCCCCCCCCCCCCCCCCCCCCCCCCCCCCCCCCCCAACTTTGTTAAGAATCTCAGCCACAGGTCAGTGTATTATTTTTGTGTGTCAAAGGAATAGCAGGGAATTATGAGAATTATAAAAGACTATTCTCACTTTTACTTCACAGAACGTCAAAGAATCACAAGGTTTGGTCATGTGGCCAGAATGGAACAAAACCAGCTAGCAGCTAGAGTGTACCACATGAGAACAGCAAGTTACAAGGTGTGAGACCAAGCAAACAAAAAAGACATGGGAGGAGAGAGTGAAAGAGACAAGACAGAAACACAGTAAGACATTCATACAAGTGATGCAACAAGCAACAGGCAAGAAACTACATCTAACTCCTCTCTGTAACACATTACAGCATAAGCAGTAGGACAAAATAAGATTCAAATTTTTACTTTTTTACTCTCTACAAAACAGATGTCAAAAGTTGCATCAATTACTGACTTATACATGTATGCAAATTTGAAAAGAACCGAGATCTTGACTTATGAATATCTTTACTGCATGTTTAGTATCAGTGGTTCAAATGTGCAGTCATTATAAAGAGGGGGAAACATACTAGTTAAGTGAACAGCCAAAGAAGTGTATGGCATCCACCTCTAGATTTTGCAGACCTGATCTGACTGACAGTTTAGGGCCATGACTTTTAGAAAAAGTCCCTGATACTGCAGTAGCTTTCTCAAGACAATGTAGAAAACCTGAGGCTATGTGTCCCAGTGTTGGTGCATTAAAAATTACTTGGCAGTTGGAAATAAAAAGAACAAATTTAGTAAGCTGTTGAGAAAAGCTACCCACAAAGATCAAGTCTATAGCATAATTTATTCTGGCATATACGCTTGGTGAGGAATCTACTTGGCCTCCCTTTAATAGCCCAGTCACACTATTCACATCGACCTGGGAGAAAATGTGGGAGTAGTGCAATCTGAGAGTAAAGTTAGAAAATATGCAGCTAAAAAAAGTAGATATATTGCAAAAGAGAATCACACATTAGTATACATTTAGGAACCGGCACAGCAAGTGAAAGATCTGTATAAGACTTCGTTTGGGTGTACAAGGATTGGGGGGGGGGGAGAGAGAGAGAGAGAGAGAGAGAGAGAGAGAGAGAGAGAGAGAGAGAGAGAGAGAGAAAACAGCAGAGTGCAGCATATTCAAACATGACATTCAGTATGAGAACTGAAGGCTCTGATATATCTTTCCAATTTCTAAGACTAAACAACAAGGAAGTGATCATAACTGACTTACTACAGCAACTTTGGCATGCAGAGAACTACTAGACTGAAGGCATCTTGTAATGACCAACTGGGGCAGCCTACTCGGCCAGTATGACATTAAACGGGTAATATGCATGCTGTAATGTGTCCACATAAAATATGTTGCTCTGTGAGTGTGACACCTCTGCAACAGTTGGATTGAGTGTAAGTCAAACTTCCATTATCCGGAACTGGAACTCTTGTTTAAAAAAAAGTAATTCAAATCTATTAGCCAAACAAACACTGACTATCAACATCATTACTAAGTGCCTGTCGACTCGCGTTGGCTGTCTCCAACATGTATAAGTTTATGTACTGATACTCTTTGTTTTAATCGTGAGCTTTCTGTTCTTCCACAGTTTAACTAAAAACTAAAAAATAATCTTCCCATTATTGTTGATGCCTTATACTTATGTTGATTTCGTTATCCAGTGATTATTATTAATTCTTTGTGGATTCGAGACTCGGAGATATGCAAAATGATCAACTGTTTCCAGCTTTTCACCATTAATGTAGGCTGCAGATCTATCATTAAATAAGCAAACATAGACAGTAAATATGGCAATTACTCTGAGTGGGTGATTTTCTCTCATATCTTCTTCTTCTTTAGCATTGTGAACCCCTGAGGTTCATTGCTGCAAAATTCACCCGCCTCCATTCATCATTCTGGTTGGCCTTCTCTTTCCTGTTAGTGACACTAAGTGTTTGAAGGTCTGCCTGGACATTACTATTATCTCTTCATAGTCTTCTTAGTCTGCCTCATGGTCTACGACCATTCATCTCCCTTGCGTATACAGTTTTTACTTCTCTGTCATCTGACATTCTTTCAACATACCCCAACAATTTTAGTCTATTAGCTCTTATGATGCCAGTGATTAAAGGTGATTTAAACAGATTATGAATTTCGTTGTTGCTTCTCGCTCTCCATTCCTTGCGGTTTGCATATTTGATGGGTCCAAAGATTCGTCGTAAGACTGTTTTTGAAAACCGGTAATAAGGCTTAAACTCTTTTAGCTGTGCTCCAGGTTTCAGAGCCATATAAAACGAATGGTCTTATCAACGTTTGATAGCCCGGCTCTCTAGCGTAGTTGGCTAAACCGGATTACGCTGTGACCGGGTGACGAACTCCTTGTGGTCCGGGTTCACTTCCAGGGGTAAGCAGAAAAGCCACATTTCTCCCAGATTTACGGTATTTACAATGGAATCAAGGCCGAAAGGTTGCGATATCCGTAAAACCGAGCCTAAGAGTTAACAACTCATGGCTTCTGGATACTAAAACAAACATCAACGTTTGATATATTTTGATCTTGGTGTTGCGAGACAGACACTTTGACTTTAGCAGATGTTGAAGAGCATAATATACTTTATTTCTAGATTGTATTCTAGATTGTATTTCTTCTCTCAGCATGTTGGAGCAGTTGAAGTTTGCACCCAAGTACTTTTATGTTTCCGTTCGTTTGATTTTCAAATTATCGACTTGTATGTGGCCGGAGTTTATATTCTTTCCCTGTCTAGTTATCATCATGTATTTTGTTTTATCTTGACTGATAACTAGTTCCAGTTTCTGAGCTGATTCGTTAAGTAGACTCAGTGTTTTAACAGTCTCTAGTTCATTTTCTCCAACGATACCAGTGTCCTCAGCATATCCAAATATTCTTGTAGATTCTCGTATGGTACACTCTGGTTTCAATTTTCTTTTAATTTTCTCCATGGCCAAGTTGAAAAGAAGTCAGGACAGAGCATCAACTTGCTTTAAATCAGATGTTATTTTAAAAGGGTCTGACTTTCTGGCTTTATATATTACTATGTTACAAGTGTCTTCCATGCATAGTTTGGTTATGGTAATTAACTTCTTTGGGATTCCAAAGTCTTTCATAGCATTTCATAAACTCTTTCTATGCACAATATCATACGCCTTTTTAAAATCCACAGAAACAGTATGTACATCTCTTCTATATTTCCAGTTTTGCTCTGCTATTTGCCGTAAAATGAATATCTGATCTGTTTTTGATCTGTTCTGTCGTAAACCCACTTGGTAATCTCCCAATATGTCTTCGGCGTATGGTTTTATTCTGTTTAGCAGGACCGCCGATAATATCTTATAGCTAGCAGATAATAGAGATATTCCTCTATAATTTTCACACTTATACTTGTCTCCTTTATAAAAAATTGGTATTAAAAAAGACAGTTTCCATTCATTGGGTAAGTTCTCCGTCTTCCAAACTAGTTTTATTAATTGATATATCTTTAAATGTAATGCATGACCATCTTCTTGTATAAGTTCAGATGCAATTCCATCAGCACCTGTTGCTTTATTGTTTTTAAGCCGTGTTATGACACACAGTATTTCTTCAAAATCAGCCTTTTCAATATTTGGTTCACATGTTAATATCTCTTCCTGTGGAATAGTATTAAGTGTAGTTTCACCCTTTAACAATTCGTCAAAGTATTTCTTTCATTTGTTACATATTTCCTCATTATTATTTATCATGCTCCCATTGTGATATTTTAAACTATAAATGCTTTGTTGATGCCTACGTTTTACAGCCTTCAGTTCTTTAAAAAATACTTCTGGATTCGTTGTTCTGATATTTTCT